TAATTTTTTTATTTCGGCTTCGAATAGAAACCGAATGTGCGGTTCTAATATTAACATTAGAATCATACTGCACTTTATTCGCAGTTGAACCGCACTTCTCTATTCATGATAGCCTTTGTTTTGCTAATTTTGTTATTTTATCTGCGGACCATAAATGCTACAACTGATAGTACAAATATTATGTGACATTTAGGCCTTGATTGGAGACGATCGATTGATTAAAAAAAGAAATGATTGATTGATTGAATCCACCATAATCGTCTAATAATCTAGAAATCTAGATGGATGTTCTTCTCTTCTCTTCCACTTGATCTAGAGAAGTAAATGAGCTCATAATATATGGGCCTTTAACAGAGACTAAGCCCAAACTAATGTAAATCATTTATGGGCCTTTGACAGAGACTAAGCCCAAATTAATCATCGAAAAATAAGAGACGAAACTAAACGCGACTTGGTTCAGCTGCCTTCTTCTGAAAACAGAACCTGCAAATGCGAGAAACAGAGTGATACATACAATCTCTGAGAATTGACTTGTCACTATTAGATGAACCAGACGCAATGGAAGTTCAAATCTTTTCGAGACCTTCTACTAAAATCTGTAGCGGAGAGAGATCTCTTCACAGGGAAATCACTTCACGCGCTCTACGTGAAGTCCATTGTAGCTTCTTCTACTTATCTCTCAAACCACTTCGTGAACCTTTACTCCAAGTGTGGTTGTCTTTCCTACGCACGAGCCGCGTTCGACTCCACGGAAGAACCCAATGTCTTCTCTTACAATGTAATTGTCAAAGCTTATGCGAAAGATTCGAAAATACATATTGCACGTCAGTTGTTCGACGAAAATCCGCAACCAGACACTGTTTCTTACAATACTCTTATATCGGGGTACGCTGATGCTAGAGAAACTGTTGCCGCGATGGTTCTGTTTAAGAGAATGAGAGAATTGGGATTTGAGGTTGATGGGTTTACGTTGTCAGGGTTGATAGCAGCTTGTTGTGACCGTGTCGATTTGATAAAGCAGCTTCATTGTTTCGCTGTCTCGGGAGGGTTTGATTCGTACTCGTCTGTGAATAATGCGTTCGTTACGTATTACAGTAAAGGTGGGCTTTTGAGAGAGGCGGTATCGGTGTTCTATGGGATGGATGGATTAAGAGATGAAGTTTCGTGGAATTCGATGATTGTGGCTTACGGGCAGCATAAGGAAGGAGCTAAGGCTTTAGCTTTGTATAAAGAAATGATTTTTAAAGGATTTAAGATTGATATGTTTACATTGGCAAGTGTTTTAAATGCTCTCACTAGCTTGGATCATTTGATCGGTGGCCGTCAGTTCCACGGTAAGCTGATCAAGGCTGGATTTCACCAGAATTCACATGTGGGAAGTGGTTTGATTGATTTTTACTCAAAATGTGGGGGTCGTGATGGTATGTCTGATAGTGAGAAGGTGTTTCAAGAGATTCTGTCGCCGGATTTGGTTCTTTGGAATACGATGATTTCTGGATATTCAATGAACGAGGAACACTCTGAAGAAGCTGTGAAGAGTTTTAGACAGATGCAACGAATTGGACACAGACCTGATGATTGCAGTTTTGTCTGTGTCACAAGCGCTTGCTCGAATCTCTCCTCTCCTTCTCAGGGCAAGCAGATTCATGGCTTGGCTATCAAATCCAACATTCCTTCGAATAGAATCTCTGTGAACAACGCATTGATTTCGTTGTATTACAAAAGCGGAAACCTGCTAGACGCAAGGCGGGTATTTGATCGAATGCCAGAGCTTAATGCTGTATCTTTCAATTGTATGATTAAAGGTTATGCGCAGCACGGGCATGGAACAGAAGCTTTGCGTTTATACCAACGGATGCTGGACTCGGGTATTGCGCCAAACAATATAACCTTTGTAGCCATTCTTTCTGCTTGTGCACACTGTGGTAAGGTCGACGAGGGTCAGAAGTACTTCAACACTATGAAGGAGACGTTCAAGATCGAACCAGAGGCAGAGCACTATTCTTGTATGATTGATCTTTTAGGCCGAGCAGGGAAGCTAGAAGAGGCAGAGAGATTCATAGATGCAATGCCTTATAAGCCAGGCTCTGTTGCTTGGGCTGCGTTGCTCGGGGCCTGTAGGAAACACAAAAACATGGCTCTTGCAGAGAGAGCAGCTAAGGAGCTTATGGTGATGCAACCCTTAGCTGCCACGCCGTATGTGATGCTAGCAAACATGTATGCAGATGCAGGGAAATGGGAAGAGATGGCCTCAGTGAGGAAATCAATGAGGGGGAAAAGGATAAGGAAGAAACCGGGATGTAGTTGGATCGAAGTGAAGAAGAAAAAGCATGTATTCGTTGCAGAAGATTGGTCTCATCCGATGATACGGGAAGTGAATGAATATCTAGAGGAGATGATGAAGAAGATGAAGAAAGTTGGGTATGTGATGGATAAGAAATGGGCAATGGTAAAAGAGGATGAAGCAGGCGAAGGAGAAGAAGAGATGCGGTTAGGACATCATAGCGAGAAGCTAGCGGTGGCCTTTGGATTGATGTCGACAAGAGATGGAGAAGAAATAGTTGTAGTGAAGAATTTGAGGATATGTGGGGATTGTCACAATGCTATCAAGTTTATGTCTGCAGTTGCAGGTAGAGAGATCATTGTAAGAGATAACCTTCGGTTTCATTGCTTCAAAGATGGCAAGTGTTCATGTGGGGATTATTGGTGATAATAATTATGATTTAATTGAATAGGAAAAATTGTGTTGACGGATACAACATTGAAGGATAAAAACTGACCTGTTACAAAATACAAGGAGAATATCGATTACGCTATTCTTTTTTTTTTTTTTTTTTTTTGCGTGCGGCTCTACGTGTAAATATGCTTTGGTGTGGACCCAATAGGCTTGGTGGTGGCTGGTTAATGTAATGGCTTGAGGTGGAAGACTTGGCAGGCTGGTTTGTATAATCCTTTGGAAACAGCCTGATCGAACTTCTTGCTTGGTGCTTCGTTTTCTTCTAAGTTTGTCTGGACGAAAAAGCGGTTCCACCACGATGCACTACGCATTTTAGCCTGCCAACAAAAATAAGAGTGCGAGTATTAAGTCTTGTACTTGTAGTCTCTGTCTTGAAGAACTTTGTGAAAGATTGGTAACTGTCATTTAAACACAGTGTTTGAATCATGAAGAGAGCTACTGCCTAACTACATACACTAAGCTAATGCCATTAAACACTAATGAGGAAAGGTGGATTCATATGTAATCATCAGGAACAAGGTATATAGTTATAACTTACGGGTCGGCCAAATTTAGACAGTTCAGCAACTTTAGCTCTCTGCTGACCAGGGAGACCTAGAACAGTAGAACTTAAAGAGTTAGAAACCAAAACTTGAAAGACATTTATTACCAACCCTTTTTCTCAAGTTTTATGATAGTTCACCTGCAAAAAGAACAACACCGTCTGAAGCCACCCTTGCGAGTTCAGGCACAGTCTTGTTCAGGTACTTGGGTGAGAGATAATCCAGAGCATCTGACACAATCACAAGAGAGAAAGATTTTGCCCGGTAGGGCAGAGGGAACTTGATATCAGCCACACGTACAAGGCCTTTGCTCACAAAACTCTTGCAGTGAGAATCTGCATCCTCGATGTCATATGGTTCAACACCCCATGCTTCAGTCTCTTCTTCTTTCAGTAGACTGGAAACCACTGAGCATGTGTCAGGGCCCACATGCAAGACTTTGCGCATGCCATCTCCATAAGCCTTCTTAAGAACAGGAATGGCTCTTTGGACTTCTGCTGTGCAAGAATAGTCACCTGAGAATTCATACCAAATTGCACAACAAATGTCAAACCCGAGTGTCAAGCAATTAAACGGGTTAAACTGCTAATAAGATGGCCCAATGTCAATGCGGATAAAGGTATTAACTTAAGTACATGTACTGAACAATGAGAAACAAGGATCACCTGTAACTTTGCTGACTTCTTTGATACTTTTAAAGATTCCTGTATTCGAGAAAAAATGAAGGCGATAAGAAAATTCGCTACTAGAGCTATACATGATGCAAAAAGAGCTATAATATACATACCAGGACCACTGTAAGCATAACCAATGAGAAGGCAAGCCCCCTATAAATTAAAAAACACACAAAACAACAATAGACTATAGTTAGAACCATACCATTCATCTCCCAGGAATCGAATCACTTAAAAAACACAATGAAGTACACAAACCATACCACAAGAACAAGGCAAATAGAGAGTAGTGGAGAAGATCGAGACTTTGAATGCAAAGCTCCTGCAAACGGGAAGCTTCCACCATCTCCTACACGTCTTGTTGAACCTACTTGCCGTCTCGCCATAACTAAAATCCCCACAAGCTCAAGCTATTAGATCTACAAAGCAACAACAAAAGACCACTAAATTTGATTACTTTATATATCCTTTTTTAGACATTAACATTCATAGAACATAAATCACAACGCTCAAGCTCTTTCATTATAAACAAATCAACGTGGAATAAAACAGAAAATCGAAAAAAACTAAGCTAATTCTCCAATTCACAGATCCAACATTACCCATCAACGAAACAAACACATAACCTTAAAATCAAACAGATCCCACAAAAAATTAGCTGATTTTCGTTCTCCATTAGTAGTGAATTTCACCAGAAACAAATCAAATTACACATAGATCCATGAAACAGCTCGCAAATAAAGAAATTTACGGGAGACGAACGAAACCCAAATCGAGAAGAGGAAGAAGAAGAAGGAAGAAATCAAATCTACCTTGGATCAATGAAACGAAGAGGGTTTGGATCTAAGATCTGAGATCCGAGAAAATGAGCACTTTATGAATAAACACCTCCACTTGAATTTACTTAAAATGAAGAAGAAGCTTCGAAGTGTTAATATTCACTTCAATATCGCTATCTACTTATTTATACCTGCCTCGTCAAAGCGCGTATGGCTATGACGCGCTGTTACGAAAACGACGGCGTTTTAAGAACATTTATTAATCAAAAACATCAACAAACTTCTTGCCGTTTTATTTATACTACGAAATTTTAAAACGACATGCGTTTCTCTGGTTCCGTGGTACAGTAACAAAACTATTGTTTCGTTTCTTCTTATATTATCACCGTTGATCTAACGGGATTACTCTCACCTCTTCATCATCATCGTTACGAGGTGGTCTCCATTTACGCTTATGAAGATCACTCCTTTCGACTACTGTCTGAGACTTGAGCTTCTTCTCTTCTTCAACTTTCATTTTGTCATCAATAAGATACAGCAACTCCTTCAAACCAACTCCGGTTAATGCAGAAACTCTAACATCTGGTCCTTTCTTCTGTGCAGCATCTACTTTAGCAACTTCTGGAACCTTCCAGAGCTCAGAGTCGTCAGCATTTTCATCTTCAGACAATAGCCACCCATCAGAGTCATTGTCTTGGTTTTGGATTTGGTCTTCATTAACTGCTGCTATAGATGCATCAACAGTTTCTTCAGCTTTTAAATCAGCTTCTTCTTCTTCTCCTTCGCCATCATCTAGATATTTCGCGTCCCCCACTTCTTCTTCTTCTTCATAATCAATCTACAACAAAATTCCCAGTGTGAAAAAAGGTGGTTGTTTCTTCTACTTGTATAGATGGTTTATATTTCAATCCTACCTTATTCCAGACTTCAATCATATTTTGAAGCTTCTCTTCAGATACTCCAATTTGCTTAAGGATATGAAACACTGTTGAACGATGCTCCTCGATATTTGGAGCTGTCGAATCAACTACATGCTGCAGAGAACCAATTACATCAACGCCAAGATATTTCTGCAGTCTTCACTTCTATATGTAATTCAGGAATATAATTTTTTTTTATATAGCTCTTACCAGAAGTATATCAGCTTCAACAACTTCTTCCAGAGTCGATTGAAATGCTTTCACCAGCTGCAAAAAGGCATGAGCCAAGAAAAGAAAAGTAAGTAAAATAGCACTTGAAAAAAGATAAATGGAATTAAAGTAGGTATACATTACCTGTATAGGCAGATCTGATATGAATCCAACAGTGTCACTAAGAAGCACAAACTTTCTGAAAAGAAATCAACTCTTGCGATTCAATACAACTATACAAGTTCATGTGTACCATAAAGTTATAAACATGATTCTCAACGTACAAATCAACTTACCCAGAAGGAAGATGGGCACTCTTGAGTGTAGGATCTAATGTGGCAAACAATCTGCAGAGGCCAGACCAAGCATTCAAAAGTTATGACTTCAGTTTCAAATTTGACAGTTTAAGATAGTTTTGAAATCATTTGAATTATACCGCTCATTGCAGTAGAGAGCAGTCTTTGTTAATGCACTTATCAGAGTCGATTTTCCCTACCAAAAGCAGATAATTAATAATCAGAAAGTATACTAGAAACAGTTGGTTTCTAGCTGAAACTCCTTGGGAGCAAAATTCAAACACTTACAGCATTTGTGTAACCAACAACAGCAATGGTACCTGAACTCTCCCCCTCTAATCCCACTCTTTTATTACGTCCAGCACGCTGCAATAGCCGTGTTCGCTGGGCTTCTTTAATTTGGGATAACAAACGAAGCCTCCGGTCTGATATTCTGGTACATCAACATTTTGTTTAACACATATATTAAATATTAGAAAAGAGAGCCATGCACTAAGTCTTTCAGTTAACCAACAATTAGACAAGACCTTCGGCGTTGAAGCTGAAGCTCAGTTTCTCCTGCACCACCTACAAAACCGCCGCCGGTTCCCTTGCTTCCTGCTCTCCTGCACAACAATTTAACAACAGTTTCATCATCGTCTCAAAAATCAAAAGAGTAAAGAGAATACACAAAAGTAGTAAAAGATAAATCACTCACCCTCGGGCACTGACAACTTCAGCTTCTCCAAACTGCCCAAAAGTGTGACGTCCATCAGTACCACGCACTCGAACCAGCCTGCTCTTATTGTACATCAGAGCTGCTAACTCTGCCTGTTGAATGAATGAACCAAACAGCTATTAATAAACGTTCCTAGCATATAAAAGCCGAAACTGTATTGTCACAGTACCTGTAGTTTTGCTTCCTTCGTATGCGCATGAGCATTAAATATTTCAATTATGAGGCCTACACGGTCTAGGACAGGTTTTGCCCATATTCGCTGAAGAGTCATATGTGAAGATACAACATTAGCTTGAACAGAAGAGAAACAAAAACTGCAGAAACTTGGGTTTTCGTGGCGTTACCTCTAAATTCCGTTGTTGAATAGCTGTCAAAATGGCGTTTACAAAAACAGCATCAACTTCTTCCTGAGCATCAAGAGATTGTAAACAGTATGATCCAACTTTTCATTACAGGCAGCACAAAAAAAAAAAGAGATTGATAATGATCAAATTTTAGCTGCTTGCCTTGGAATCTTCAGCATTGAGGTGGCATTTAATGTTGTCTACAGTCCCAGCTCCGAAATAAGTATCTAAAAATCGAAACCCATATTAAACATCAGTCTCTCAGGAATATCGTCGAACATATGGAAGGCATGATTCTTAAAAACATCCAACACGAACCTACGCGAGGTTTAGACGATCTACGAACAGGGTTTTGAACAACAACATGAGAAGGCAATTCCTTGTCGAAGAAATCAGATTCAAAGTACCCATATCGTTGCTCTTCAAGCGAATTCGCGAGACAAAGCGCTTCATTCAGCTTCGCCTGTAGTAACTTAGGCGGTGCTAGACGAGGCTGAACAAGGAAGAGCTTAGGTGGGCTTGATGGATCTTTAGGGTTTAACAAAACTGAATCTTTTGGAGTCGACTCTTCTTCTACTTCGCTCGTTTTAGGCGCATGCCGCTTCGAAGAAAACGGAGACGATGATGGCGTTTTAGACCTAAGATGGTTCCGAGCAAGAAACGATGATGGCGTTTCGGACCTAAGACGGTTCCGAGCAAGAGACACTGTCCTCAACATTGAGATACGATTTGAAAGTTTTGATATTTCACTCGCTTGACGATTCCAAACTGGGATCTTGGTGTTCTTATACAAAAAACTTGCTTGATCACCAAGATTCAGCCAAATTCCGACACTTGTTGTTGTACTCATCCACAAATCTGATCGTCACCGGAACAAAGCTTCTCATTTGTCACCGGAGCAGTGACTGTGTGTTAAAAACTCGATTCGATATATTTAGTTTTGGGTCGGTTTGTTTACCGGTTTTGAGACCATAATCGGATATGTTTCGGTTTAATCATTCGGTTACACAAAATTGGCAGTGTTTTTTGTACTCGGTTTAAATTCGGAACGGTGCCGTTTTGAACTATAACAACTTCACAAGAACATGAAACAAAGCAAAAACAAGAAACACTGTTTTATTCAGCTATAAGAAAAAAATCTAAACTTGCTTCTTTTGGAAATGTTACAATGCTTTAGCTCTACTTCTTTCACCTCCTCCTTTATGCCTATGATGATCTGTTCCTTTCTTCTTCCCTTCTTTATTATTACCTTTAGGTTTAGCTTTCTCAATCAAATCCTCTTCACCTCTCTTCTTATACATCTTAAAACTCATCTCTCTCTCACTTGCCATCTTCATCACTTTCTCCGTAATCTCTGCAGCGATCGTCCTGTTATACAGTTTATTCAATCCTTTCATAAGTTTCACGTAAGTATTAGGTTGCGGCATCAAGTCCATCTCCATCATATCAAGACAATACGAACATGCTTCCTTCACGTGACCTTTTGCGAACAAAGCATGGATCCATATTGTCCAAGCTGATACATTCAGCTCACAGGAAGAGGTTTTGTTTGATATGCAACTCCAAACATCTTTCGCCATTTCAAGCTTATCATCTCTTAGAAGAGTATTTAGCAATGACTTCAGCGTTCCATATTGAGGCGCAGAGAATATTCCTCGGCTTACCATTTCTTTGAAGTGACTACAGGCTTCGATTAGATAACCTTGGCTAGTAAATCCGTTGATCATAATAACAAACATGTCAGCTCCAGGACTTAAACCATTAGCTTCCATTTCGTTCCATAACCGAACTGCTTCTTTCACTTCCCTAAAGTTACAAGCCAATCTGATCACTACATTGTAAATGAGAAGATCGGGATGACAACCTATTTGCTTCATCTTCTCAATCAACTCCAAACACTCTTCAAATTGTTCTTTCTTCTCATGAGCCACCAATATCTGCATATATGTTACTTGCGACGGCATGACTCCTTTCTTTCTCATATCATCTAAAACACTATAACCTTTATCGATCATTCCCCACTTGCAAAACCCGCTTATCAGCGCGGTGTAAGTCACGATATCAGCCTCACATCCATACCTTTCCATCTCAACAAAAACCCTCATCGCCTCATCCATTCTCTTCTCCGTCCTACACAACGCCTGGATCAAAACCGTGTAACAATTCGCATTCGGTTCATACCCTCTCTTTCTCATATCATTCAAAAGATCATAAGCATCCGCCATTTTCCCAGCATGAGCATATCCACTAAGCAAGTTAGTGAAAACCACAATGTCAGGCTCAAGTCCAGCTTCCTTCATCTGAACCAAAACTTCTTTAGCTTCCATCAACTTCCCTTCCCTACACCAACCATACAACAACGAAGTAAAATACCGCAAATTCGGAGGAATTTTCTCCCTCATATCCTCAAAAACCTTTGAAGCATCCTTAACACTACCGTTCTTACACAAAGCATCTAACAAACATCCAAAAACATACTCGTCAGGCTCAAAACCATACTTAGGCATTTCGTCGAGCACCTCAACTGCTTTCTTCACCATATTAGCGGAAGCAAACCTCCGTATCAATACAACGAACAACTCCGGCTCAATCAACTCCGGATTCTCCTTCCTCATCTCTTCAATTAAACCCCAAACAGCTCCAAATTGCCGCATTTTACTAAGAATCTTCACCATTGATTTACACACTTCATAGCTATGACAATAACCAGGTTGCTTCGTTGCCCATAGAAAAAATCTATAACCTAAATTCCCAGCATCCCCACAACGACTCAACACTCGTACGATTAACCCGGGTCGCAGATCAATACCTGATTCGTTAAGAGAAAGCTCCAATTTCGGAACCCTAGAATGGTAATTCCGTAAAATTCTGTATATCTTCTCAACGTCACCGGCGAATTCATCCTCATGCTTCTCTGGAAAAACTAAACCAAGCCCATTCTTTCTCTCTGTTGATTCCACGAAATCGTTATTGAGAACTCTTGAAATGTGAAACCTTTTACAAATGAGATCAATTCGAGAATTTGCTTGAGATTGAGAAGATGGTTTTTTGCTGATGAGAAGAAGATCGACAATGGTAGAGAATCTACGCATCTCTCTCTCACTTCACTCTCTAAAAACGACAGCTTTTCGTCTTTTAAAGTCTTCTCCTTTCCTCTGTTTTGCTTGCATTTAGAAAACTTAAACCCTAAAAGAGACAACTTTCTTTAACAACAGAGCATATAGATGACTGATGAGAAAAGCTCTATCAGCCATAGGCGAAAGCTCGACTACGTTGCTCAATTTAAACCGGAGACTAACGGCTCTCACTCGTTCCGGCGAGAACAGAAACGCTCTCAAGCTCTTCGCCGATGTTCACCGTTGTATAACTCTGAGACCAGACCAGTACAGTGTCTCGTTAGCTATTACTGCAGCTGGGCACCTCCGTGATACCATCTTCGGTGGTCAGGTTCATTGCTATGCGATTCGCTCTGGTTTATTGTGTCACTCTCACGTCTCCAATACGCTTCTCTCGCTATACGCGAGATTAGGGAACTTAGCTTCGTTGAAGAGGAAGTTCGAAGAGATTATTGAACCTGATGTTTATTCATGGACGACGCTTTTGAGTGCAAGTTTTAAGCTTGGTGATATAGAGTATGCCTTTGAGGTGTTTGATAAAATGCCTGAGAGGGATGATGTTGCGGTTTGGAATGCTATGATCACTGGTTGCAAAGAGAGTGGGTATCACGGAACAAGTATTGAGTTGTTTCGAGAAATGCACAAGCTTGGTGTTCGACATGATAAGTTTGGCTTTGCTACTGTTTTGAGTATGTGTTACTATGGCTCTTTGGATTTTGGTAAGCAGGTGCATTCGCTAGTTATAAAAGCTGGATTTTTTGTTGCATCATCTGTTGTGAATGCACTAATTACAATGTATTTCAATTGCCAAGTGGTTGTTGATGCTCGTCTGGTGTTTGAAGAAGCTGATGTTGCTGTACGTGATCAGGTCACTTTTAATGTGGTTATTGATGGATTGGCTGGTTTCAAAAGAGAGGAGTCTTTGTTGGTGTTTAGACAAATGGTCGAAGCTGGTCTTAGACCAACTGATCTGACCTTTGTTAGTGTAATGAGTTCTTGTTCATGTGAGACTATGGGACACCAAGTACATGGACTATCCATCAAGACAGGGTATGAAGAGTATACTTTGGTTAGCAATTCCACTATGACAATGTATTCTTCTTTTGAGGATTTTGGTGCAGCTCATAAGGTTTTCGAGTCATTGGAAGAGAAAGATTTGATTACTTGGAATACAATGATTTCTGGTTATAACCAAGCGAACTTGGGGCAGTCTGCGTTGTTGTTGTACAAGCGAATGCATGGAATAGGAGTTAAACCGGATGAGTTTACTTTCGGAAGTCTTTTAGCAAGCTCTCTGGATTTGGATGCCCTGGAGATGGTTCAAGCGTGTGTAATCAAATTCGGGCTTAGTTCAAAGATCGAAATTTCGAATGCACTGATATCTGCCTATTCGAAGCACGGAAAGATAACAAAGGCAGACCTAATATTCGAAAGTTCGCCGAAGAAGAATCTAATCTCATGGAACGCGATAATCTCGGGGTTTTACCATAATGGGTTTTCCTTTGAAGGTTTGGAAAGATTCTCTTGCTTGCTAGAAGCAGAGGTCCTAATCATACCTGATGCTTATACTCTTAGCATTCTTTTGAGCATTTGCGTAGACATTTCGTCTTTGATGCTCGGAGAGCAGACTCACGCTTACGCCCTCAGACATGGGCAATTCAAGGAGACGTTGATTGGTAATGCCTTTATAAACATGTACTCTCAATGCGGGACTCTACAAAAATCTCTTGCTGTTTTCCATCAGATGTCTGATAAGGACACTGTGTCATGGAATTCTCTGATCTCTGCATACGCGAGACACGGGAAAGGAGAGAGTGCGGTTCTTACCTACAAGACGATGCAAGATGAAGGCAAGGTGGATCCCGATGCAGCCACATTATCAGCGGTTCTCTCTGCTTGCGGCCACGCCGGTTTAGTCAAAGAGGGACTCGAGATTTTCAACTCAATGGTGGAATTTCACGGTCTGATACCAAATGTGGATCATTTTTCATGCTTAGTTGACCTTCTTGGTCGAGCAGGTCACCTCGATGAAGCAGAAAGCTTGGTGAAAATCAGCGAGAAGACCATTGGGTCTCGGGTAGATGTGTGGTGGGCTTTGTTTAGTGCTTGTGCTGCTCATGGAGATTTGAAACTAGGGAAAATGGTTGCGAGGTTACTAATGGAGAAAGAGAAGAATGATCCATCGGTTTATGTTCAATTGTCGAATATATACGCAGGAGCTGGTTTGTGGAAAGAAGCAGAAGAGACGAGAAAAGCCATCAACATGATTGGAGCTATGAAACAACGAGGTTGCAGCTGGATGAGATTGTAATAACCGGTCGATTCGGTTTGTTAAATTGAATTATATATATATTTGTTCATTTGTTTTTCACTTTTTTATATTGATGGAAAGTGAAACTCTTTAGAATAGAAAAATTGTAACAAAAATGCAGAGAATATTTTTTATGAAAAAAGTGAAACTATTGTAGGAGATAAGAAAGATATTCAAAATTTAAATAGCATAATCATGAGCCTCTTCTTATTGAGTGGGGATGATGATTGATGAATGATGATCATCGTATCCTCAAGGAGCTGTATTATATAAAACGCAGCGTTTCATCTATCTGACAAATCCACTGGCATAAACGTATATCCAAATTAGTATTTGGGTCAACTTGTCTCTCAAAAAAATCCCGCAGTATCCGTTAGTACCAAAGATATATAATTTCCATTAATTATTATTTCCCATCTCTAATAGTTTCTTCCAAAGATTACTAGAATTAGAGCATGAATATCGGTTGAAATATTAAGTATCTTAGACAAATCTTAGGATTAAAGTTGATTAATCAAACTAACATCTTAAAGCTAAGATTTATATCAAAGTTAAGATGTTTTTCTTAACTTAAGATGTTGCAAAGTGTCATATTGTAATTGGTTAAAAAAAACAAACAAAAGAATGACACATCCAGTTATGAAACGACTATTTCGCAGAAAATCTAACTTTCCCTCCTAATCTGTTTAGACGCCGATTTAGTCGAGCATATATGGACAAATATTCCATAAATTAAGTTTAAAATATTTGTAGTTTATGTTATTTATGTTATAAATTGTATTTCATGTATGTTTTAATTTTTTTAATTTGCAACAATTATTAAGTTTTCTATAATTATAAATTTTATTTTTATATTAATATATTTTTTTTTTCTAAGAACCACATGTTAAGAGCCTACCATTAATCATACAAAAATCTTAATACAAAAAAAAACTATTTCTTAACTACTTTTACAAATATATTACTTAAATATTGCTAAAAAATATTTCTAAGATACTACCAATAATCATGCTCTTACATGTAATTTATTATCCCATTTCTGCTTCGCCTTGCATATATATTACTAGATTTACAAAATATTCTCATTCCTAAAAACAGAAGTGAAACATAAATATATTAAAAAAAAATTATTAAGGGAAAAATCAAAATCCCAAATAAAAGAACTCACACATATAAAAGAATCCTCTTCAAAGCCGTAATTAATAAGCAAAAAAAAAAAAATCCTTAATTAAGTTTAGTAATCAGGCATAGATTGACTAATCTTACCTTCTTCTTCAACAATCTTCTTCTCAGTAATCCTCAACCATAAACAAACACCAGTAAAACTAATCATCAAGCTCGCGATTCCACTCCCAAGTCCAATCCCAACAATCGCCATCACCGATAATCCTTTACTCTTCATCATCATCTCCTGCAACGGATAACCATACAATCCTTTATTCCCTATAAACGAGCTCGCGTTAAACCTCGGGAAATTCCCAGTCCTATTCGACAAATACGTCGGAATCTGACCGGAAAGTTTGTTATTCGACACATCAAACGCCGATAACCGAGCTAAAAGACCTAATTGCTGCGGAATCTGACCGGATAGTTGGTTATCGTGGAGATCGATTACGTTTAAGTAAGCGCATAGAGCTAGCTGCGGAGTGATTTCGCCGGAGAGTTGATTCGATGAGAGATTTAACACGGCGAGGTTAACGAGAAACTGAATCTCCGGTGGGATGATACCGGAGATCTGGTTTGATGATAGATCTAGGGATTGGAGATTTGTACAGTTTGATAGAAACGGTGAGATTGTGCCGCGGAGAGAGAGGTTAGTGAGAGAGAGTTTGTAGATTCTTCCGTTGTTACAGGTAGCTCCGGGGAGGTAAGAGGTGAAGCCGGAGCATGGATTTGAGAAGACGGAGTTTGTCCAGTTACGGAGATTACTCGCCGGATCTTCTAAGTTTTGCCGGAGGTTTTTTAAACACGCTTCGTCGTTTGGATCAGCGGTGGTTAAACGTCGTGTCGTTTCGAAGATTAGTAGAAGGAGAAGGAGTAACCGGTAACTAAACCGGTGACTCCTCACCATTTTGATTTTAGAGAGATTTCGAAAAAGGTTGAAGAAGAAGAAAGTGGAAGTTTCATGTGAGTGTGTTCTCAACACAAAGAAAAACGGTTACAGAAATTTTGTAGTTGATGATAGAGGCGCGTTTTAGCAGGGGAGTGAGGTGGGCGTAGGATAGAGGTGGGAAGATTAATTTTGGAGATTAAATTGAATTGATTATGTTGGGTGTGTGTGTAATTATATTGCTGTTTTCAACTTTAATTATTTGTATAAATGTGTATACCAACAACACTCATGATTAGATTTTAATCATGTCATCCATTTTATCAAGTGAAGTTTTAGAATTGTTCTTGGTCTTCTTATTAAGTCGCCAATACTTAAAAAGAAAAAGAATGAGAATGGAACTTTGGTATAGAATAATAGTGCAGTGGACTGTTTATGTACCTTTCGTCTTTCGTGTGTGTGATAGATTATTTTTTGAAAAAAGAGTTTTATAATTAAATCGAGGAAAATCATGACATCCATTCACTGAATATTTTTTAAAATTATATTTTGGTCCAGTAATTGGGAACCATGTGTAGAGAGACATGTATTGCAAGTTAAAACCAGCGTAGACCAAACAAGAAATGACCAATAAAGCAATTTCACCAAATTCATGAGGTGGTCCTTAGTGCGTCACACTCTTTTCACTTTCCATTACCACAATTAACTATTTTCTTATTCTGTTTAAAATAAAATTAAAATCAGTTGACAATTCGACATACATGTAGTTAATTAGTTATAGACTTATAAACCACTCAAAATTGTTTTGGTTGTGAGCCCATGTTTAAGCCTACTGTTTATAACTTTCTTAAAGCCCAATGCAAAGCTAACTCGGTCATATGACAATCTTGGACGTCTACAATTGTTTTATGTAATCTTGATCATACGTCTACAATTATTTATGTAAGAAAAAATAATTTTAGTCTGAGATGTGTTATCTTTGAAAGCGACGGTCTTGAATTCTAATTATGTATTCACCCACACGTATGATATGTAATGAATGTGAATAAGAAAGACACATGCATGCTCTTCTAAAATTTATTTCAATAATCATAACAAGCAATCGCATGTCTCCTCCTTTATTTTTTCTTTCATAATGTTCATGCCTTTATTATGTTTCAACCCCACTCAAAACGTAACAAAATCGTATAATAGACACGTATATATAGTTCGCAAGTTTAGTCTATCAAATTCGTTATGCAAATCGTATGTCATCGAATTTTGATCACTAATCATTATAATAGAACCATGTCCTCTCAGGAAACTAAATTGTCTTTGTCAGCATCGCCTCAAGTTTCATCATCACTAACTAATAGAGGAGAATTAGAGATAGATATGCCGTCGAATGTCGATAATAAAATGGTGGTACCAGCATTGCTACCTTTGCCACCACCATCACCATATCCTTTATCATCAAAACGGTTGGGTAGATCTTCCTCGTTAGTTAAATCATCGTGTATAATGAAATGGAAAAAGACGGGAAAGAGACGAGAAGAAGAAGATGATGATCCTTTTCTTATTGCATTGAGAAAGTGTTCAAATGATACAAAAATTGACGACGATGATTCTTCTCTTACTGCGATGAGAAAGTGTTCAAATGATATAAAAATGGACAATGATAAGGTTGTGTCTAAAAGGAAGAATAGTCTTAAATTCCTAGTTTCTTGCAAAGCTCCTTCTGTTAAAGATTGATTTTTATTCCAATTTTTTTTTTCATTATTTAAGATATCATCTCTCTTCTATTTTTTATTTTTTATCTTTAATGTAATTTTTTTGAGTATATATCAATAGTAAAGCATCTTATCATGAACATAAAAAGGGTTTTCTTCCTTTTTATTCTCCTCCATCTGTCGTCAAATTACAAGATCATGTAAAAGGTTCCAAACTCTTAAGTAAAATATCTCAAGTTGTCTAAGTATCAAAATCAGATTTTTTATTCGAAATCAGATTTTTACTTACACTTTTTATCTCTTTCCTTTCTCCAAATGAAAAGACAAAATAGAGACAGCCAAAAATATCACAAAAGGATATTATTTTTTGTTACCAAAAGATCATTTCAGACCAAAGTTTGATTAATCTCTTTGAATGAGTGTAGTCTAAGCATATTCACTGGTTTTTTTTTAATAGACAACGTATGACACCACTATCTACTTGTTCAAATAAAAGAAAAAGAGATTCATCAGGCAGTTGTATAGTTAAGCTGTTGTTGTGTATATATATATGAACCGAGCCTTGTGGCCTAGTGGTAAAGGGGTCACAGCTGTGACTTCCGTCACCAGGGTTCAAGGCACGGCCACTGGCAGGTTTACATATAGGGGAATTGCCAGCCTCGTGGGATTAGTCATTGGGCCTAGGAAGCCTTTGGAGACTCGCGGTTATTCAAATATATATATATATATATATATATATATATATATATATATGAATCACATTTTGTTCTTTTCCTTTAAATTTTCAATGTCTGTTTTAGTCACGATTTGTTATACCCCCTTTACATCGTTTAATTCAGTGCATACGGAACCTTAAATATCATATCACAACCATTAAAGTTTACGCCAGAAAAAGTACTCCAACAAATGTTAGGGAAAAGCATGTTAAGATTTTGTTTATGACTTAAAGTTGGCTTAATGTTTAACTTATCAAACCGATTCAAGCCTTCAAGGTCAAATCGTGGACGACAGACATTTGAGAACAAAAAGTAGAAAAATAAACAATATTGGTATATATACGTGTCATGATTTACACCGTAATCTTTATTTGTCTAAATCAAATAATGGCCGCATCTTTATTTTTATATGCGTTTTTTTATTTTAGTTTAATATTATTATCATGTCTCCATATCTCGTGAAAGGTTAAGAGAGCCTAAAACTTCCGCTAATGAACATATGCATACACAGATATATGTGCCCTTGTGTGTATTAAGACTATATAATTTAGCTAATTAGGATTTAATTAAGTGTGGTTAGTACATGATTAATGGACCTATTTGGTCAGCAAACAATCATTATCATCGACCTAATTTTTTCTCTTCGACTATAGCTAATTTCTTACCATGTATGTAGAGCTTAACCTCTAATGAAAATTTTGTCATATCTTTTATCTTACAATTACTAAGCCTACTTCTTTTTCTTTTATTGGTTTAACCTTTTTCTAGATCATTTTTATTGGTTTAACTTAGACCCAAAAATTCAAAAAATCATGTTCAAAATCTATATATCGAAATATTGCTATTAGAATTACAAAGCTATAATTAAAAGCAATAAACCTATTAAGGAAGACCGAAACAGGAATTCATATACTTTATTAAAGATAATGAATTTGGGGTGATTAAGACTGCCGATAGATTAGTCGATCTCTTTACGAGCATTTGAATTTGACCTCCTTATTCAAAATAGTATTTAATCAGGGCATATTCTCGTATTCTATTATTTAGACCACGAATTTATATATTAGGATACCAAAACCCATCTATTTTGTCGTTACACGCGTCATTTAATCATTTTCACGAGAATATTTTAAATTTGATCAATAGAAAGTTGGAGGATATAGCTAAGAATCATATATAAATTAAATCAACTAGGTGATTGCCCGCGCGCATGCGCGGGAAGAATGTTGTATAAATGGTAAAATCATGTGAAATAAGGGATTGTTTAGGTGTTACTTGGTAGTGTAAGAAAAAATGGTAAATTGTTTAGGATTTAGTGTGGTAAAATTATGGAAAATGATGAAATTTAAAAAATTCAATAATATTATAAATGCTAAAAAATAATAATAAATCATCTTTTAAAATCATTCACCAACAAAATAAGAAATCAACGAACATCATCACTCCATGACATTCTCCTTCCGTGTGATGATTGGTACTTGGTCATTTTCAGGATTCCTGACATCCGATTAAGAACACCATAAACAGTGAATGTCCAGTCGCCAACTTTAGAGTTTTGATTGTAAACGGAAAAAAAAAATACTTACCAACAAAGCATCTCGTCGGTAATACTGAGATCCGGATTCAACATAATCCTCGTACTTCCGGTAACATTGGTACATCTCCACCTATGTTCCTGTGATAGTTCTAATTTCACAAACTTGATAATACATATCACTGTGTTACGTGAACGATGCTTCCATAAGTCATAGAACTCGACTGCAAGGTCACCCGTTAAACGACACTCTAGATGGATACACCTAATTTTAAGATTTGAAGAAGTCATATAAGACATTATATTCTGGTTTAAATCTTTAAAAGAATAGTGACTTACTCAGTATCACGTAAACCAAAGTACAGCTCAAAATATCCTCCTTGAGAATGTTCCACGGAAGGAACAAAAACCAACTCTCTCACGTTGACAATTTTGCCAACAACATCTATGAAACACACACATGAATAATACAGTCAGAACATGAACCGCAAATAAACTCCAAAAGCACAAATAAATTTATAAATTAGGCTTACCAACGCAAATATTCGGATTAACAATACCACTCAATATACTCACAAACTCAGTTAGATTGAAATAGGTTCTACTGGAGCACATATTAATACTTTGCACTAAAGTGTCCGAACGAAACACAATCTTGAATCTATGCGGTACTGGTCTCAATATGCTGTTAACCCGTGATACATCAAAATTTTTAATGCTCACCCACTCATCGATTATCAATCTTGAAAGATAATTATCAATTAATTCATCACGAACAACGGCTTGGATTTGTGTGAACTGCAAATAAAACGTCAAAGACAAAACCAATTCAATTTAATATCGAAAACATGTATAGCAGGTAAGTTATCAAAAAACTAACATGCTCGTCACCCAAAATCACATTGAGCTCTCTACCCGTGCCACGCGAAACAGACCAACAATTCAAAATCTTCACCGAGACAGACCACTCACCCATGTTAGGGTTAAGAGACGCAATACGAAAATAACCACCATCACATGAATCAGATGTAAAAGGTATCATTGTAGAACCCATAACAAAAGATTACGCGGCTAAATATTCCAATGAGGTATAAATGCGGGATACATATATGTAGACCTAACGATTATTTGGAAAGAACATAAAAATGGAAAATATATATTAAAAACTAAATCAGAAAATTAACAAAAACGACTATTGATTAAACGATATAGAATTTATCCATAAAATTAATAAATTAAGTTTTTAAAAAAGAAACCAAATCTCAACAGTTAAACTGAAATATATACTAACGAAACTTAAG